TGCAGGAAGGCATATATAGTTTCTCTATCAGAGTGGTTTTAATGCCCTCTTTCCGTGGGCCTGATACGTAAGAAAAGATAAATGCTTACAGGCCCCAAAACTCTTTGGAGTCAACACATGCATGAGAAAGTATAATATCTTTTTAACTTTTAATCATTTTAGCCAAAGAGCGAAATCTCTTTTTATTGCTTATGAGAGATGGTGCTAAATTAAATACGAGGCAGTGATCTGCAGAAAAAGAAGTCCCCACAAAAACAGTGCTTCCCTGTGGGAAGCAAGAAGCACTTTAGAAAGTTTAGAGCCGGGAAGTGATGGGGTGGTGGGCTGGAGACAGCCTGAATGAAGAGAGGAGGCGGAGACAGAGGCTGAGCGGCACATGGTGGAGTTGCCGTAACAAAGTAAGATGATGCTGGGGAGTGGCATGTGGTCTGAAAAGCCCTTTCCTGGATCCCTGTGGGTGTGAGGGATTAAAGCCTACAGATAAAGCAACCACAGGCCCCTGCCACACCTCCTCAGGTGCTTAAAGAGTTGCTTCTGTGTTCCCAGTTGTAAATGAGATCATCTTTGGTGATGTCTGGATGATAATAACCACTCTTTATTACACATTTTCTGTGTGCTTTACAGGGAGTATGTTCTTTAATCCTCCCAACATCCCTTTGCGGTAGGTGCTGTAAGTCATTTTATAGATGAGGAAATTGAGGTCTTAGAGAGGTTAGATCGTTTGTCCAAGACCAACAGCCAGGCAGTGGTAGAACTGGGTTTTGAGCACAGAGACAGTCTGGCTACAGAGCCTGTGCTTACCGTAACCACCATGCTTTTAAATAGCAATTTTTCCTAATGAAAATTGATAGTGTAATGTCCAGAAGGTTAGAATTAAAAAAATAAAAATAAAAAGGTCTCTGTCTCATGGATTCACCAGGGGACCTGGGGGAAATGCCCTTGATCTTGGTTTCCAGTCTGTAAAGGAACAATTATGCCATTCTTCACCCACCCTTCCTACAGATGTGCTTTGAGGATGAATGAATAGATTGGTCATCAGGGCTTTGAAAACCCAAGATGATTGAAGATGCCTAGTTAAATAATATAAGTAAATGAGTTTCCACATCCCTGCACAAGGCTCAGGCCCCCAAACTGGAGCAGCTTTCCAGCAAGAGCTGGTTTGAGATTTTCAAAGCAAATTTCACGCACATTCTGTGTAAGTCCAAAACCAAAAGTTCCTTGTGGAATACTATTAAGGCATTTTTGCAGGAAATTCATCTGATGTCTGACTGAAAATCTCTAAGGCAAGCATGGTGCCCTTATGGGATATGGTTTCCAGCCTTTTGTCTTTTTTTTTTGACATGGAGTCTTGCTCTGTCGCCCAGGCTGGAGTGCAGTGGCGCGATCTCGGCTCACTGCAACCTCTGCTTCCTGGATTCAAGTGTTTCTCCTGCCTTCCCAGTGGCTGGGATTATAGGCGTGTGCCACCATGCCCAACTATTTCTTTCTGTATTTTTAATAGAGACAGGGTTTTACCATGTTGGTCAGGCTGGTCTTGAACTCCTGACCTCATGATCTGCCCCCAACCCCAACCTCCCAAAGTGCTGGGATTACAGGCATGAGCCACCGCACCTGGCTCAGCCTTTTGTCTTTAAGAACTAAACATTCTTCTCTTGTTGGCCTTGAAGTGGGAGTTTGGTAAACTGGGTCAGATAATTCCGCTCTCTTAATCCTATACTTGTTAGTGGTCTTCATCTCTTCCACTTACTCTATTAGGCCCCGCACCATGGCAGGCTGATTACTGCAGTAGACTCCACACTGATTACCTTGTGATGTGTTTGAAGGGGTGTACAAAAGGGTTAATTTGTATATCATGAAACAAAAAACTTTCATCCTTTATCCAAACCAAAAGGAATGACAACAACCCAAGTAGGTAGTATTCTCGTGTATTTTCCCAGGAAAGTTTTAAATTCTTGTTGTAATCTGCAATGCAAGTAGCATTTTTAAAGATTTCAAGAGGCATAAATGGTCTTGAAATGTAGTCATAAAGGGAAGGTACTTTGGAAAAAATGACCTGAGAAATCATCTCATGTGAACATAAATCACACACACACACACATTTGTAGTCTTTGATATAGTAATCTTGTTTCTGAGAATTTATGCTTAAGAAATTATCCAAAATCAGGAAATCAAGAGTTCATCGCATGGTTGTTTATAAGAGCAAAACATTTGAAACAGTCAACATGTCCCAGCTACACACATGCACGTACACATGCACATATGTGCATCCCAGAATATGCATTAAAATTAAAATTATAAAAGCCATGTGGTAACATAGAAATGCTTATTATACAAAGAAAAAATATATATAATCATGACACCATACCAGTTACACTGTATATTTTTTATTTCTAGCTTTGTTTTTATTTTGAGACAGAGTTTCGCTCTTGTTGCCCAGGCTGGAGTGCAATGGCGCAATCTTGGCTCACCGCAAACTCCGCCTCCCGGGTTCAAGCAATTCTCCTGCCTCAGCCTCCCGAGTACCTGGGATTACAGGCATGCACCACCACGCCTGGCTAATTTTGTATTTTTAGTAGAAATGGGGTTTCTCCATGTTGCTCAGGCTGGTCTTGAACTCCTGACCTCAGGTGATCCGCCCGCCTTGGCCTCCCAAAGGGTTGGGATTACAGGCCTAAACCACGGCGCCTGGCCTATTTCTAGGATTTCTATTCAGTTTGTTGTCTACTCTGCCTCTTCGTTTTTCATACTGTTCTGTTTATTCCTTATGGTTACTGTTTCTTTCACTATTTTCTTAGTACCTTAAACATAGCTCCCTAAATACTTTTTTTCCAGGTTGTTCTCAGGGTACAGATTCTGTTTGTTGTGCTGTTCATTTCCATGGGTCCTCTGTAAAATTTTCCTGTGAGCTCCTCATCTTCTCCAGTGGTTGTTACCTGTAGGACTCCACTATTCCCTGGCCTGGGAGGTGGCGATGTTGCTTTGCCTTTGCAAAACCCTAGGATTTTAACAGTCCCAGGCACGTAGTGGATTTCTGTACCATCTTCCTGGAATGGCTGACTGAGGTTGAAATGAGTATGAATCCTGAATTTGTTGAAAGAGTTCGCTTCCCTAGCAAGGGCCTAATTGCATGCCTGTTGCACCTTTGGGTTCAGCTCTCACAAACCATTAGATCCTGCTTGCTTTCTGGGACCTAAACTTCCTGCCCTCAAACTCTGTTGTGCATTAAAAAATAATTTATTGCCAGGCATGGTGGCTTTCGCCTGTAATCCCAGCTACTCAGGAGGCCGAGGCACAAGAATCGCTTGAGCGCAGGAGGCAGAGGTTGCAGTGAGCCGAGATGGCACCACTGCACTCTAGCCTGGGCAACAGTGTGAGACTGTCTCAAAACAAACAAGCAAACAAAACCCTTATGCTTTACCCATCATTTCCACATGTTTGTAGTGGGATATTCATATTAACCATAAGTACCTATTTATCTTTCCTATCTTCTGCCACTATATGAAAATATATATGGGTATAATCAGACTGGAAAGGAATTTGAAAATGGTATTTTTTTATGGGTAGAGAGAGTAGGTTTATTGTAACTCTAGTTTGCAAACACTCTGTATTAATATATTGCCTTAAAAATATAATTATAAGAATTACCTTTTAAACAATTCTCTTCTGTTTCAGAATGCATATACTACAACTGCTATTAATGGGACAGATTTCTGTACGTCAGCAAAAGATGCATTCAAAATCTTGTCCAAGAATTCAAGTCATTTTACATCTATTAACTGCTTTGGAGACTTCATAATTTTTCTAGGAAAGGTGAGATATCTTGACTAAATACATAAAGGAGCCTGGGATTCTGAAAATTAAGCCACACAACAATTGGTTTGAAGGGAACTATATTTCTTGAGTACTTACTCTGTAGTGGACTCTGTGCTTCCTTATCTCATTTAATCCTCAATCCCATGAGGTATCCCTATTTTGCAGAAGAGAAAACGAAGGTTTAATAACCTTTCCAGGGTTCTACAATAGGTAGAGCCAGAATTTTAATTCTACTCTTACTCTCTTACCTGTGATCAGTTCTACCATTCTGATTCATTCTTTTTCAGGTCTAAAATGAACATACTACTAACCTCAGAAAATGAATGTTTGTGGGTTTCTCAATAAGAATATATGGAAAGAGTATTGAAACCTGGACTGGGCAAGGTGGCTCACATGTGTAATCCCAGTATTTTGGGAGGCTGAGGCGGGAAGATCACTTGAGGTCAGGAGTTGAGATTAGCCTGGCCAACATAGCAAAACCCCATCCTTACTAAAAATACAAAAATTAGCCGGGCGTGGTGGCAGGTGCCTGTAATCCCAGCTACTCGGGAGGCTGAGGCAGGAGAATCACTTGAACCTGGGAGGCAGAGGTTGCAGTGAACTGAGATCATGCCACTGCACTCCAGCCTGGTGACAGAGCAAGACTCTGTCTCAAAAGAAAGGGGGGTTTTCTAAAAAAAGTTTTAAAGTGAATAAGCTTATTTTGGTGTTAAGTGAAAAAACAGAATAAAAAGTTTGTGAGATATTATTACATTTATATGAATACAAAAGCTAGGCACAGATAAAATAACATATAACCTTCCTACCCACCATTAACTGGGTTTTCCTTTTGATACAGCTTTTCATTTTTTCCTCTATTTCATTCTGCCCAAAATTTCTGACAAGGCATTCTTTACAATAGTGCACACACACGTTGCACACATGAACGTATATTAAAGCATTACTTGTAACTGACAAAAACATCTAAGCAACTGATTCATAAAGATTTTCAACAAACTCTTCTTTTGCACAGGTGTTAGTGGTGTGTTTCCACTGTTTTTGGAGGACTCATGGCTTTTAACTACAATCGGGCATTCCAGGTGTGGGCAGTCCCTCTGTTATTGGTAGCTTTTTTGCCTACTTAGTAGCCCATAGTTTTTTATCTGTGTTTGAAACTGTGCTGGATGCCACTTTTCCTGTGTTTTGCTGTTGATCTGGAAACAAATGATGGATCGTCAGAAAAAGCCCTACTTTATGGACCAAGAATTTCTGGTAAGCAAACATTTCATTTCCAGTTGCAATATCCACGCTCGCAATCTCAGTTTTGTAAAGCTGCACACAAAAGAGGCTCATACCCAGCCTGTGTCTTCTAGAGGGCTCTGAGGCTTCTACTACCCCAGAGCCTGAAAGTGGGATTTGGGCTGAACTCTCCAAGGCTGAACCCACTTCCCTTTCTGAGAACCTTCTCCCTGGAGAAGTGAAGCTGAACAAGAATGCTGATCAGAAGCAGCAGCACTTCTTACCCTGGGGCAGAAGATGTCCTGAACACAGTAGTTCAGGTCCCTTTGGTGCTCGTGGCATGATCTAGCCTTGTGGGTGGTCTAGAAGTTTAACAGTTGATCTTTTTCTAAAGCATTTTTGCATCTCCAAGCATGATGTTCATACCCACTCTATTAGAGAGAGCACACTTATGTGTGCCAGTATTGACAGATCTGCAATTCTCGGGCCCTTTATTAGCCCAGGCACACCAGTGTGAGAAAAGCCACACCCTCAGCGGAGTGCCCATACTGTTTGTATCTGGAAGTAGCAGGCAGCTGTTTGCAACAGCCTTTGCAACACAGTTGTTGCCTATTTGCCTTATCCTGGGTAGACAGGGATATTTTAACAGCTGAATCATGTCTCATCTCTTTTCCTTGTCTGAGTTATAGATTTTCATACTTTTCTTTCATTCTGTTGCCATTAAAATTAGGTGTTCAAGCCCTTTTAGCTTGAAACAGAGCATTGAATGCACTCTTTAGTTCAGCAGCCACTCAATTTTTTAAGAACCACTTCCACAGTTTATAATTAATGTATCCTCATCCTTCTCCATATAAAACATAAAAATACAATTTTTACTTTTTTTTTTTTATGGAGACAGTTTTGCTCTTGTTGCCCAAGAGTGCTGGGCAAGAGTGCCCAAGAGTGCCCAAGGAGCACTTCCCAAAGTGCTGGGATTACAGTTGTGAGCCACCCACACCCAGCCAAAATACAATTTTTACTTTTTACTTGTTTATTGACTTATTTGTATGTACTCTAAGGAAAGTGTTTATGATGGTGGTATGAAGCTAGCCAGGTCCCCATCCCCTGATTTACTTTTCCAGTTAAAAATCCACCTTGAAGTCCCGGCACGGTGGCTCACTCCTGTAATCCCAGCACTTTGGGAAGCCGAGGCAGGTGGATCACATGAGGTCAGGAATTTGAGACCAGCCTGGCCAACATGGTGAAACCCTGTCTCTACTAAAAATACAAAAATTAGCCAGGCGCAGTGGCAGGCGCCTGTAATCTCAGCCACTTGGGAGGCTGAGACAGGAGAATCGCTTGAACCCGGGAGGTGGAGGTTGCAGTAAGTTGAGATGGTGCCATTGCACTCCAGCCTGGGCGACAGAGGGCGATTCCGTCTCCCTAACCCCCCCCGCAAAAAAAAAATCCACCTTAAAATTTACCCCCTAAAATAGTTGTTTCAACAGGAGAAACTTTCTTAAGGATCCATTTATCTGAAATTTAAGGCCAAGAACTGGTAAATGGTTATCATTGGGACTCAGAAACCGACACTCCAGAATATGGCACTTTGACTCTGACCTTCTCCCGAAGTGCAGGATGAAGCTGTCATCTGAATGAAATTCCCTTATCTGCCTAAAGTCCAGACTCACCAAAGAAAAAAACAGCCTCTGGCCCCTTCCCTGAGTTTTCCATTAACTGGACTTATATAGCAGAAACAAAAACTAACTTCAGTCAACACACCTGGACAGACTTTTGTCACAAACCACTGTCTGCTCTGCGGGCCCAACAGACTTTGTCCCCAGCCATTAAGTATCCTTCAAGCTCATTAAACTCCCCTAAAAGTAATTTACCACCCCCCTAAAAATCATCCACACTTCCCCATCCCCATTTCATAGTTAGACAATCACTCTGTGATTCTCCGCTGTGCTTGCTAATTTATATGCCATTTCGCCTGTTAATCTGCCTTTTGTAAGTTAATTCTTCAGCAAACCTTCAGAGGGCAAAGGAGAAGTTTTCCCTTGGCCCCTACATTATCAACAGTGCAGACACATTAATACTCATCTAACTTGTTCTTTTGTTTCAGAGTTTTGTAAAAAGGAGCAACAAATTAAACAATGCAAGGGCACGGCAGGACGAGCACTCATTAAGGAATGACGAGGGAACAGAACTCCAGGCCATTGCGAGATAGATACCCATTTAGGGACTTGTACCTGGAAAACGTTTCTTTCTAAAGAACCATTTACAGAATAGAAGACAAGACCACTCGAGAAAAGTTAGTGGAATTTTTTCTTTTTTAAAGAAGTCCTAATAAACTATTCTTTCTCATTGTCTGTGTCATTATTGTTTGACCAGGTAACAATACTGGAACCATATTAGTTTACCACCTTTTTTTTTGTACAAATTAGGACAGAAAAACTCTCTTAAAACCATGTTTATATGCATCAGTTTAAAAAGTACACTATATAAGAACTGAGGCAAGTCTGTAAGTGCATAACTAATAAATAAACCTTTTTAAGGATTTTGTTAGCGGAAATCTCTGGAATTTTTTTTTTTTTAAAGGGACAGTGTCTCAGTATGTTCCCAAGGTTGTAGTATAGTGGCGACACACAGGTGCCATCATAGCTCACTGCAGCCTCCAACTCTTAGGCTCAAGTGATCCTCCTGCCTCAGCCTCCCAAGCAGCTGGGACTACAGGCGTGCCACCATGTCCAGCGTGGAACGTTGCTCTTATACAGAGTAGGACACTTCCCTATTCATCCAATCCTGGAAATATGCTGAGTGGATTCACTTTTCAAAGTACAGTTCTTAGATTTGGTGACAATAAAAGCCCAAAGTGTAAACTCTGACATTAACTACCACCTGAACTGGGCATGTACAGGACAGGCAGGAGTGTAACCAATGATTTAGTCGGTGCACATGCTCTTCCTTTCTTCTGAATACCCTTCCTCCTCTTTGCTAATGGCAAACTCCTACTTATTCTTCAAAACCCAGCTCTGATAGCATCATGCTTCTGCAATGCCTCTGAGCATTACTTGCCCTCTCTTCTGTCCTTCTCCTCCATGCTCTGATATGACTGTGAATCCACTTTCTTTTTGTTATGTCTCTCCACCAGATCACATTCCATGATGGCACACACAATTTATCTCAGAAATCCTGACACACAAGCACTCTTACGGCAGACATTCTGGAAGAAGTGGTTTTCAACCACAGCCCCACCTGAGAAATTACCTGGAGACAGATTTTTAAAAATACTTCTGCCCGGACCTCAGAGATTTATGTAGACGGGAGTGAGGGGAAGAGCTTTTCCTTTTTAAACCTCTAACCAAATAGAAACATTTTAACATGTTGATTGGCAGCCTCATGAGAATCAATCTGACTTAAATGGCAGGGAGGTAGTGTGATATAAGGCTTCCGTCCCCTAAACTTTGAAGAGTCAAAGATGACAAGGACAGCCTGAGAACTCAGGTCTATTTTAAATGCAGTGACTTTTTTCTTAAATGCCACCATTGAATTAGCTTGACTCCAATAGTTTCCTTTACAAGCAGTTTCCCAGAAGCATTAAACCTAGTCATTGTGACATGATGAGCTAATAGGCTTCACTTTTGTGGCTCGTCAAACCATGTGTATATACTCCTCATCTCTCACAAAAAATGGACAGTTTTCGCCCCCAAACCTGATAGAGCCAATCCTATCAGAAGACATGGCTTGGCTGAGACAATGTCGGAAAGTGAGAGTTACTAAGTTTCTTTTAGTGACTGCATTTTTGTCACTATGACACCTAGTTATTGTTTGTGCTTCCCTCTGTCAGGACTGAAGGTTTATGTTTCACCATAAACCGTAGCTTATTATCAAAGCAGCACATCCTGTGGCTGACCTAGCATATTTCTTATTCATATTTACCCTAAGATAGGAAAATTCCCCACTGCTCATATCAATATTCCTAAAAATTATTTTAAGATTATTCCAAGTTGAATTTAAGATGAATCTGGGCCAGCTAAGTCACAGTGAAATAGGGTCAGAAATGATTTGAATCCTGTCATTTACTATGTGTAATGGTTTCCTAAGCCTCAATCCCCTTAAGCATAGAGTGCAGTGTTGTGTGGAGTAAATAAAATGTTAATGTCCCTTGTAACAGTACCTAGGAAAAAGGTACTTAAAAAAAATCTGACCCTACCTATCTAGAAGCTAGCCAGAAAATAATCAGCCTGTGGTTCATATGAATGTTCAAAACAAAATATTTATTTATAAAAAATACAATGGGATAAGTTTATGCTGAGAAATGCAGCAATAAATACAGTTGAAGAAACAGAGCAACTCTACATTGATACATTGGCACAAACAGGAAGAGCAAATGCATCACCCAGGCCTAAATGTCCACAGGCCACTTTTGTACATGCTCCTTTAGAAACACCACTCTGAAAGATCTTGTCCGCTAGGTAAGAGAATGAGTACACATATAATCACAAATGCACACTGATCATGACTTTATTTAAAAATTAGCAAACAATACTGTAGAAACATTGATATGTAAATTTCTAAAATGCTGCATCTTAAATTTAGTTGGCAAAGACCACATTTAGCAATAAGCATGAGTTTAGTCTTCCATGTAGAAACCAGATACACTAAACTGTAAAAAAAAAAAAAAAAATAGTTTCTATTGTTTGAAAATACCAGTTTAATATAAGATTGTAAAATGCATAGATCTTTGCATACAAGAACTGGCTGTACAAGAGTACTCCCCTTTCACAGTATTCCTTTTTACTTCATATGCGAGTTACTGATTATGCTGTAGGATTTAACTATTACAGCACTAAAAGGCAACTATTGAGGGAAGAGGCAGAAAAAGGAAAAAGGAATGTATGTAAGGCAATTTTTCTTAAAAGTACAATAAGCTTAATAGTGTTTTAGGAAGACAAGATAAAATTACTCAAGGCTAGCTTGGTTCTCACTGAATAAAAACAATGGACTAAATACTGCGCTCCTTCTGTGTGGATCTAATAATCAATGCCTTGGTCGCTATATTGGTAATCTCTGGGGTAGTCATCCTGGTACTCGCCATGATACTCATCGGGGTATTCTGCCTGATAATCACTATCACTGATTTCCGAACCATTTGTTCCTGTTCCTTGGCTTCCGTTGTGAATGACAGGTTCTGTAGGAGCAGCACAGTATTTGGGATCATATACTTGCCGCCCAAGCCCATACACACTCATTCCTTTCTGGGAAGCAACTTTGTTGGTACCCATCTGTAGGGAAATTGTCGAGTTGTCCACCGGCTGTAATGTTAGCTTCTGATCATAGATGTCTCTTCTGGTACCTGGTGCTAACATCCCTGCCTGGTATTAGAACATAGTATAAAAGTTAAAGCGGCAGCTGGAATCTACTCTTGTGAATAATTTACAGATTATAGAATTCACACTGAATATGAACAGCAGTACGTGAACTTTCATTTGGTTCAGGGGTAAAGCTAGCTTAACCAAAATATCCTGATACCGAATCACTTCCAGGAAGCAATATTCATTGGCTTTTGAGCTAGGTGAGACCTTTCTTCAAGATCCTTGCTCTGCTGTAAATTACTATGTGGCCTCAAACAAGTAAATTTAGCTTTAGCTTTCTCAAATTGCAAAATGGAGACATTACTACTTACTCTGGATTTAAGTGAGGATGAGACATAAAGAACGTGAAATCATAATGCTTCCACACCACAAAGTTCCATGTGAATGCCCATGAGGACCACATACATTATCCGGGTTACCAATTTCACAAGTTTATAATATATTCAACAAAAACTATGTTGAGCAGATCTTAAGGACTTGAGTCTTTTCAAAAGGCTGAGATGCAGAAGAGCCAGCCACTTCACAGCCACTCCCCTCTTTTTCAGAGTACAGTAACTCATACTTCATCTCTACTTACATCAGGCACACACTTCCAGGTTGAGAGTGGGTAGAAAAGTACACGTGAGTGGCAGCTATGAGAGACATAATGCCACACCTGGCAGGATGTGTTCCATAAGGGCAAAGTGATCAATCTCCCTTGGACTCTCTAAGAAAATGTTTTCCAAACCATATCCCAGCTGATGTTGGGATGTGAGACCTGTCTGTTCTCAAATGGTTGTTGGAACTTCCTTCTGAGGTGCTGGTGATCTATTTTTAAGAAGGAAATATTTCTGTCTTGGATGTGGTGTACTGGTATTTTCATCACGTTGCATTTCCATCTCCTTATATTGACACATCTAATAGGAATGCTAGTTAAATCCTTCTTAGTGGGACACCAGATAATTTTACCTATTAATTAAGGGTTCTTTAAAAAAAAAAAAAGTCAGCATTTAAATGAGCAATATTTTACTTGGATTTTGGAGCAAGAACACTGGAATAAACATATCTTTTTTCTGCTGGCTAGGTAGAAAGGCGGCCAGCTGTTCTAACTGCCAACAAAAACCACGAGACACATCGTGCTTTTGCTGCTATCGAAAAGGTCTTTTGATTCTTTTGCTTTCCCAGCAAAGTCCACATTCCTGAAGGAATATACTCTTAAATAAACTATACAAAAAATACCTACTTTAAACTTCTAGTAATAAGAATAAGGTAAGTGTACTCTTGTACAAGTAGAAAAAGGTATTGCTTACCTGGCTGGCTCCTTTATTGGTGCCCATCTGCAGACTAATTGTGGTCTGGTCAAAAGGTTTGTCAGTTTGCATTTTGGGGTCATAAAGGTGCCTCCTAGTCCCATAAGCTGTCATACCTGCCTGGCTGGCACATTTGTTGGTTCCCATCTTTTAAGTTAAAAGTAAAATTGCACAAATTATCAGATGTCAACAATATACACAACACAAACAAAACTTTCCACGCTACTAAAAAGACAGAAGGGGCACAACTGACAAGTTACTGAGCTGAGGCTCCAGCCGACTCTTCCATGTGTTTACAAACAAATTTCAAGTGCTAACTTTAAAAAGAAAATTTTAAAGAAATTCACTATAGATAAAACCTCATACATAGCAGAATTAAACACACTTTAAAAGGTGGACTGACACACTAAAAGTCATTACAGTGGCAGAATAATTTCCTCTGCTACTGTTTCCCCAGATAACCAAATTAAGAGGTACCAGCTTTGGTTATTTAAACAGAAGCAATCCTAGGCCAAGCAATATGCTGTTCTACTCCAGGAATGTTTTACATAAAATGTGAAAGCAAATGCCAGCTGTTTTCTCTGGGAGCTTGACAAGGACTTCTTTCAGTTTCAAAATCACCAACATTTTCACCAGAAAGGAACCACATTTTATTCCTGCAACTCCCGTGTCCTTGGACAGAGCTGGAGAAAGGTGGAATGA